TTATCAGCCATACTTAAAACTCGCACGAACAATTGTTATCTGTTTACTTTATGAAGGCGAAAAAACAGAAAGCAAGAAATATAGGCCTATGCAAAACAAACAGCCATAAATTAAAATAAATAAATAAAAAAACGAGGCCTAAACCAAAATAAATGATCCAGAACCAACAGATATGTGCAGTACATTTGTTTTGATATGCACAAAACTCAAATTTCATAAATATCACCACATTTACCTCTTCAGCTGACCCTAAAGATTTGTCTTCGCCTGTTTTTTTCTTTTTAAAAATAATTTCGAAATATGTACCGACCTAAATCACTCGGTCGAAGCATACGCCACTGCCCCTATTTACCTCCGCATCCGATTCTCCATATTTGCTTGTCTAACATTTATGAGAACCACTTGTATTGCAATCAATTTCAATCACAACAGGTTTTTCCATGCAAGTTTCACTTGAGTTGCTTATAGACTTCGACTTTCCTGGAGACAAATTACACCTGGACCAAAAAAAAAAAAGTATCATTTGGAAAAAATGATTAGAATTCTGAATCATTAGTTAACTTGTGAATTTCACATGGCTTGAGATGATAAGAAACCATTTACATACAATCTTGGTCTGGATTCAGCTAACTCGGTTAATGGTGTCCCATTTATCTTAGTCGAGTGTGGATCTGCAAACGAGATTGAGACGAACGAGAGAAAACTTGATTCAGAATACAACAAACACATATATGAACTTCAGCGGCTTCCATTTCTTCCAAGAAATAATATAAAATTTAGAAACCAAAACATGATATCATCAACCACACATATATGTTAAGATTTAACAAAGTTGCAAGAGGCTACCAAAATATCCACGCAAGACAAGAAAAAAACTTACCTACAAGGGGAGGTGCTACGTTACCAGCTGTAGCAGGCTCCTGCAGCATATAAAATACGAATAAATTGTTGAAGTTCAAAAGGTAATGAAAAATCTCGATCCATTATAAAATCAAATGTGGTGGGGCTACAATTGTGAGTCCATACCAACTCACTCATTTGATTCTCTTGGAACCATTTTTCTGATTCTTGAGCAGCTTGAGTGAATTTATGGGAATCTTCTGTATGAAAAATTAGGAGCTGTAAGTTATAGATTTAACCATAGGATTGTGATTTTGTGACTGAATACTCTAATGCAATACCATAATCAGCAGTTTTAACTAGTGATGCTTTTGCACCTGCTTCCGTTGACGAGTCCGTAACCCGTGAATTAAGAACTTCTATCAGTCCAGTGTACTCATCCCTGAACACAATACCGTAAATCTTTTAGATGGTAAGAGAGAAACGGATATGCTAGATAAACCAATCAAACCCATATCACTTTCCCATCAAGGGCACATTAACATTTTCAATGAATGTGTGACTAATTGCTGGAGAATTCTTTGTCCATCCATCAAGTTGGAAAAATACCACTCATCGTTTTCATGAAAATATATATATAATAATATAATCACCATGAAACTATTCCCTCCGCCATCCAAAAAAATTAAAAAGAAATGCACACTTACGGGATGTAAGTTAAAAGTTTGGAGGTACGAGTAGTATCATTTTGATAGAAGATAGTTTTCATGGTAGAAGCAATGGAATCAAAGTTAGAAGGCAGTGGTAAACCATATGCTTGGAGAAGACATAAACAAATAGCTTATTAAGGTTTCGACAGTTACCTCGAAAAGGACTCTTGCATGATGAGCTGCTCTATTAACTGTTTGTTTTCAGTCTTGGACACAATAAACTCAGATTCTTGCCTTTTTTGTGAAACATCCGGAAAAGGCCCCTTTTTCTAAGATAAGAAAAGTTAAAATGAGCTACGTGTAATTGCACAGACAATGAGTAATAAGCTAAATATCAACAAATGCCATCCTATCAAGCATGCACTAATCAGTCTACATATGACATTAAGCACGGAATATAAGAAACTATTCATCCTAAAATCCATTATTATCATACCAGCCGGACATGAATCATTTGTTATTTTCCTACCCAACACAATTTACGTATCTATGTATCGATCAAACTGAACAATATATTCATAGTTTCATACAACAGTCAGTAAGCAAAGGAATTCTTCTAAATCAACTCAAACCTTATGTTTCAACCCTGTGAACAAAAATAGTAGCTTACCATTTTCAGATCATTCTTCACATTAGAATCAGTTCCATGCCCACTAACATTGTCTGAATCACATTCATCTGCCAAACAAAAGCTCAAAATATCTAATGTCAGTCGAGCCGCAACCGGTGTGCATAAACAATAACAGTTCTTTCGGGCAACCTCTTATGTAACTAAACATCACAGATCAAACATCCACATTCTGTAATCAACCAATAACCAAATACAAACGCAAATTTAGCATTTCGATTCAACTTGGAGAGGTCGTAAAGGAAGGGGAAAACAGAAAAAAAAAAAAAAAAAAATCGAAGCGAACTGAAATCGCCTACTATGGAGACTAAAAAGCTGCATATAAATCGCACTCTGCATACGAACTATATTCATGAATCTCACCCAGACAGTTAAAATAATCAAAGAAAAAACTGAATGAACACCGAATACTCACCTGAATCACACTCGCCGTCCCAATCAGACGAGGACTCCTCGCTTTCAGAGAAGACGGCGGTCAGGATCGAGCTCGCGGTGGAAGCTAGCGCCCGAGCGGGACGAATAAACACGTCCGCAAACCAGTGACGTGTTTTAGGCGGCGGCCGCCTCCGTCTCCGACGAATGGGGCCGCCGCCGGACCGAGAATCGGAGATTGTTGCCATGCTAGGGATATTTTCGAAGTCTCTTTTAATACAACTCTA